CCCCCCCCTCCGTGTTATTGTTTTGCCTTAGAGCAGCGGGCATGGAGATGCAGCCTGGGCCAAGGCATTTACAGAAATAGCGAAGACACCAAAAAGGGATTTGAGACAAATCAAAACTGTTTAATTAGGGGGAAAAAAAAAAAGTCCAAAGTTTCAGCTTGGAAAAACCAAGTAAATAACAACAACCCCCAAGGCAAATACTTATATTTTCTGTAATATCCAAGTATTGTGTTCTGATATTTTTGGAAGTGAAAAGATGTTTTTCTTTAGTTCAGGGTGGGGTTGCATCATCTCAGAGCTGGAGAAAATGTTTTTTCACCATGTGTCGAGCCAAGCTGACCCTGAAACCTGGCACCCATGGGCAGAGCTCAGAAATTGGGCTGCAGGAGGAGGTGGAAAGTGGTGCTGCTGGAAGGCAGGGCTGGGGCAGGGCTGCTGCCAACCCTCGTGCCCTGTCGGTACCTTTCCAACCCACTTTATTTTATTTCACCTTGAAAGAGGGATGAGAATGACCCATTAAAAATAAGCCGAAGGGACGGTGCGAGCGGGCTGGACAGCCACGTCCCCAAGCCCAAGCGCTCACCTGGGCATTGTTTAATTTCTTAGGGACGTAGCCTCCGTTCCTGCCTGTTCGCTCCTTTTTCCAGATCACCGGTGAGTGGCACAGCCAGTTCTTCTCAGGAGCCTGTGGGTCACTCCCTGCATTGTCAAAATTCACCGTCGATTCCTGCTCCCCGCTCCCATGCTGCCCTTTTGCAGCCTGTGACATCTTCTCTCATTGGTGGCACTGGGCTGGGGCATGAGCCTCTGCCTCTCTACAGTGCTGGAGAGGGTTTCCTTAAAAAAAAAACAAAATAAATTAAAAAAGGTTAATTGGAGGCAAATGAACAGAAATTTTGCATTCCATGGTAGGCAAGAGCGCAGGGTGATCTGGCCAAGCGTGGTGGGATGGAGACATCCCCCACTCCAGACCTTCTGCGCGTGGCTGAAGCCCAAATGTTGGTGATGAGCATCCCCCAAGGATGTGCAGATCCTAAAGTCAAGCTCAGGATAATGGATCTTCTCTGAAAAGAGCTTCACAGAAAATGCTGAAGAAGGAGCAGAGGGTCTGGTTGGGTGTCCTCAAGCATTTGACACTGGCCCAGTTTGCCCAGAGAAGCTGTGGATGCCCCATCCCTGGAGGGGTTCAAGGCCAGGCTGGATGAGGCTTTGAGCAACCTGGGCTGGTGGGAGGTGTCCCTGCCCATGGCTGGGGGGGTGGGACTGGATGATCTCTAAGGTCCTTTCCAACCCAAACCATTCTATGGTTTCATGAATCTATGATTGGGGATATAGCAAGGTTCATTGCCCTTCTGCCACATTCTTCCCCAGCTGCAATTTCTCCTGCAGCTTTGTGGCTGGGTTTCGATCAGCCCAGGACCACGTTGCTCCATGGAGAGCGAGGACCTGGGTTTGTGGGTCCTCTGTGGGGTGATGTAAAGATCAGAGTGGTGAGTGACCATGTCATGCTGCTCCGTGGTATGCTGACGAGTATCAGGGATCAGCACTGTGGCAGCGACAGCTGGAGCAGGTTCTACCAAACCAGCAGGTTCCCGTGATACGTCCAACGCTGTCGGTGCCAGCTCCTCTTGCACACCCACCTTTGGACCTGAAGTCACCATGGGATGGTTGCAGATGGATCTCACCTAAATACTACCTTGGTGAGACACTGGTGGGGGCTCCCAAGTTTGATGATTCCCGTGGAGGTGGAGAAAGCCTCCTGTAACCATGGACACATTCTTCCAGGCACTGTATCAGCCACCTCCAGTATCCCACAGCCCCCGTTTCGCTCCCACTGGCTCCCATCTGCAATGCCACAGTCCCATGCATCCCTCTCCTTCCATCGCCCCGGCACTGGATGGACGGGGAGAGTCCGGAACAATGCGTCTGCTTCCAAGGCCTTGAGCAGCATCTCCCTCTGGTGGCTACGGAACAAGAGCTACGGCGAGAAACCCTCCCCGGCGTGACTTCTGTCTGGCAGTTGGGACATTTTTTTTTTTTTTTCTGGATGTGCAGCAGGTCATTGGGGCATCTGGAGTTCCGTGCTGCCCCGCAGAGATGGGAAGGGTGGGGAAGGGTATCTGGAGCTGTGATTTGCAGCAGGACAGTCCTACTCTGAACAGAGCTTTAACATTAGTTTAAAAAAACATTAAAAAAAAAAAGTTAAAAGAAGGCTCTGGGGAGACCTTAGAGCAGCCTTCCAGTACTTAAAGGAGATATTGGGAGGGACTCTTGATCAGGGGGTGGAGTGATAGGACAAGGGGGAACGGTTTTAAGCTGAAAGAGGGGAGATTTAGATGAGATATTGGGAATAATTTGTTTCCTGTGAGGATGGTGAGACACTGGAACACGTTGCCCAGAGAAGCTGTGCATGTTTGGGCTGGAAAAACAGCAGTTTCTCTGGCCTTGAACAAATTTAGAATAGAAGTAGGAAGGTGCCTTAAAATCCTGCTGCATTTCAGCCTGGAGAAGAGAAGGCTCTGGGGAGACCTTAGAGCAGCTTCCAGTTCTTGAAAGGGGGCTACAGGAGAGATGGGGGGGCTCTGGATCAGGGGGTGGAGGGACAGGATGAGGGGGAACAGTTTTAACCTGAAAGAGGGGAGATGGAGATGAGATGTGAGGAAGAAATGTTTTCCTGTGCGGGGGGTGAGGCAGTGGCCCCGGC